TCTTTTCAAACTTTGAACCAGATTATAGAGGTGTAGGTGAGATTCAATGAGGATTGCAATCTGTGATTTAATGTAATCCTGCAATACAATCTACCTATTTAACACATTTGTAAACACATTTTATATAAATGTTTGAAAAGCTGCATTCTTTTCTGAATTATCAATGCACTTACTCTTCTGAATGTCACATTACTTAGTAACTCGTTACCAGTGGCGGGCCGTGCATTTTATACCTGGGCCTTCACTGCTGTCCTGCAGCTGAAACACAGCTACGGTTATTATTTGTTTAGTGTAAAAATTAAGCCCTCACCTATAAATAGACTAACACTGCAGAGAATACGCCGAGAGTGCGTCTCCTCTCTGCTCTGACTGCAGCTGAGACTGCTGCGTGAGGCTGCTGTGAGAGTACCCGCCTGTGTGTGCTTTGGGACGGCGGAGGGGCTCACGGCAGCTCCCGCTGCTCGTTCACCACAGTGCAGAACGTACGTGCTTTAACGAGTCAAAACACCACAAAAGTCTCCAATAACACCAGAACAAGTCGCTAGATTTGTCGCTAGTAGCTTTTGACAAAAAAGTCACCATGAGGGTTTGGAAAGTCGCCAGATTTAGCGAGCAACTTGCCAACACTGGCACTGGCTAAATATGTCCCCAGAGCAACATTGGACGTAACAATGGTTCCTATCACATATTAAACCAAACAAAAATCCATCTTCATAAAAACAAGTTGTACAAATAATAATATATAAACAAGCATATTAAAGCTACTGCAATGTACAAATAAAAGCATTTAACTTACCAGAGCTGCTGTTCACTATTTAAAGACAAAGTGCATCCTCCTTTCTTTGTTAACAAAGAGTTTAATCCCACGGTTGTTCAGTACATCCGTGTGTTTTAGTTCCAGTAAGAAGTCCTTCTCGATTCATGGATGCCAGTGAAGACAGTCGAGCCTCCCCAGCTGTATTTCTTGAATACGTTTTAATGCGTTCGAGGGCTGAAAATGTCCGCTCCACAGAGGCAGCAGATATTGGGATTGTCACCGCCCAACATGTCAGGCTAGCCCACTGACCAATCACGTATGGCTAGGCCAGCTAGAAGGCTCTGACATGTCAAAGAATACGCCCAACATGTCAAACTAAAGATCTGATTGGTTGAACACTATGACAATCAACAATATCGTCCCCATTCACTTAAAGTGCACATGGATTCACTTGTGAGTCTGCAGGCCTCAGGCCTCTCTTCTTACCTAGAGACACAGAGGTGAGATCTGATTGGATGAAAGCTCTACTTAAAACAAGCTGCACTGGAAGCAGAGCAACTGAGGAAGACAGTAGCTGTGCAATGAGAAAATAAGATAATGGGAAAACTATTTTTATAAATTATAATACATGTAGTGTATTTACGAAAAATTCTTAAATTATAAAATAGCTCTAACTTTGTGATTCTGTTTAGGCCAACAGAGAAGGCCTTGCAGGCCCTGACGGCCCACCACTGCTCGTTACAGAAACTAGCCGGCTCGGGTTTTCTCCGGGTCCTCCAGCTTCAACCTTCCTGATTTCATGATACATTTCAGTGTAGCCTGTTGCATTTCATATTTATACTGCACTGTGGATTTGGAGCTAGCTGTGTAAGTGATACTCGTTACCAGGAGAGGTTGGAAGGAGAGATATGTTTCCAAAACGTAACATTTCCACATAAAAACCTGTGGCGCTAACATTAGCGGAGTACGTTACAACTTGATCAGCTGGCGGTAGCACTTCTATGCTATGCTAGTTACTGAAGGTATACTGAATGTAAACACATGCTGCTTTTGCTTTTTAATGATTGTAACAGTGAACAAAGACCTACCCGGCTTTACAGAAACACTGTTGTTCCTTCATTGTATCGTCTTCTGTCTTGATCTCCAGGTGATGTGCTGGTTTTAACTGTAAAGGTACAAAAGCAGAAATGTTCTCCAGTGCAACAGGGACTTGCAGCCTCCCAGCAGAGCTACGAGTGTGAGAACAAGTGAGACGTGTGTTGACCCATAATCTAGTAAAACTTTTCATTTTAAAGTAAATTTGATGTGCGTGAGAGAGAGATAGAGCAAGACCTGCTGCCTTGTAACTAAGTTTGAAGAATAAAACTTTTCCACTACATTTGTCTGAGTGCGTGTGTGGGAAATATAGAGGAAGATCTTAAGTACTGAGCATGACCTTTCATTATCAAAGAGTACAATTATAATGTATTTTCTGTAACCAATTTACTTCCCATTCATGTACAAAATGAGCAGCTATAGTGACTGGCGGTGTGCTTGTTTTTTTATCATAAACGTCACCCGCTCTGCAATCTGTTTTATGAAAAAGCAGGTATGTGGAAGTCCTCACTATCTGTGGCCTTTTATGGTACAGCCTGAAGAACTAGCTGTGCCGTTACTGCCCAACAGTCCAAAATCCAAGCAATATCCTGTCCTAAATCACAGTTTAGCCAGCTGGTTGGCAGTGTTGTCACACTCCAGCTTGGAATGGGAGTTAAGTGCTCACATACTGAGAGAAATGAAGTTACGCTTGGTATTCCCTTAGAACACTGTGTTTTACCTTTCACATGCATTTTAGTCACTGGGCTGTGTTGTATCAGTGAAGACGTGCAGATAATGCACCTGGTCCCAGATAAAAGTCACTACTTCCTCTAGTGCTCATACTCCTTTACCCTCAATGGAAACTGATAGTCTTTGAATTTATTGACTCATATCAGGAGTATGTTTATTGAAGGAAGAGTTCCCACCAAAATCAAAAACACTTATTTTTCCTCTTACCTGTAGTGCTTTTAAAGAGATGTCTGCCCTCTCTCAAATATAATGGGACCATATGATACTCAACTTGTGGTGCTCAAAGCACCAAATAAATTTGAAAAACTCAACAGCAATGTCTCTTTCCAGAAATCCTGACCTGGTTACTCAAGATAACCCAGAGACTTTGTTGTGAGCAGTTTAATGGAGGGACTAATTTCTCTCAGTCCAACTACATCCATCGACCATATAACCGTGCAGGAGGAAGCATCTACTCATGGACGACAGACACAGCACAAGATGTAAACATCAACGGCCAACGTCAGCTCAGAGCTGGCAGTATCGAGTAGAGATGCACGCTTCCTTCTGCGTGGTGATACGGTGGGTGGGTGTAGTTGGACATATAGAAAATAGTACCAACATGACCCCCTGAACTTCAGTCATGTCAAAGTAAAATGAGTCAGCTGTCTATGGTCGCAGTGCTGCTCAACGCCAAAAACAAAAGCTTGGTTTGTGTTGTGTAATTATGAAATCATATGAAATCCAAAGTGTGGAATGGCATGTTAAGTGTTCTCCTTCAAATCAAGTCAGAACAGGAACATCATGAAGAATTCTACAGTTTTACTATTTATTATAATCTTATGTCATCGTGAAATAAATAATGAATGCACACAAAATAATAAACCCCATGCATTTTACATGAAAAGTAAATATCAGTACAACTGACAAGTTCTAGCAGACCCATTCAATAAGAACTCACCCAGGGTACTGTAACTCAGTCAAAAGTGCTAGAATAAGTATAAAAATGAATGTGAACAGATGCTGTGCACCAGATAACACAATACACATACTTTGCAGGTGTCACATAAATATATGATAATTGGTGTGTTAAAATAGACAATATTGTTAACTAACATCTCATGTTTAGCTCTCTGTTAGAAATAGCACAGGAATCAAGCACATCTAGACACATGATCAGCTGATCTGACCCATGCAGCTCTTTTCCATCGCAGGAACTAGATATAAGAAGCCAGTGAGCTGGAACTGCTCAGCAGCAAACAGCAGACGAACACAGTTAAGAGACGAGCGGATGAACATAGTGGAGGAGTTACTGTATGTTTGTAAAGAGGACACAAACATCACTCCAAATGAATTCTAATGTTGCTTCTTAATTGCTAAATGTGTATGTCGCTGTTTTCTGACACGTTCATTACAACAACCCTCATAAACCATTCATTAGAATAATAATTACTCGTGATAAAACCTTACCAGGTTCTTAAAACAGGCTTATACCCACCGATAGTAATTATATATATAACCCATGTAACCTTGAGACAGGTCGTGCAGCACTGTCTCTGAGGAACTAGGGTGACATATGTGAAAGAGACAAAGTGCACGTATGGAGGAGGTCCGGGTGGATGGACGGGTCAAACAAACACAACTTACACCCAGGAGACCGCTGTGTGTGTCCTGTGTGAGACAGAAAGTCAGCGGTGACTTATTTGGCCTTACTTTTGTTTAATTTAACTGACTTACTTAACTCATGGCAACATTATTTAGATCTTTTTATGTTAGAAACTTACGTATTATAACCAAAACCCCAATATTTTCTTAAGCACTAACCAAGTAGTTTGTTCTGCACTACACTTTTGTTGCTTTACGTTTGTAGGAAAACGCAGGAAATAGTATATCATATGAACCATTGTATGAGGATATGTTGACTAATTTGCTGGAAAAGGCCAAACAGACAGCCGCAGTAAAACCTACTTGACTACTGGCAAAAAGGAAAATGACTGAAATTCCATAGCGCGTCATGTGGTACACTCCATTTGTCTAGACTGGGATGGTAAACAATGCAGTGTTGTCGTTTGTTTGACCTTTAGCAGCCGTTTACAAACACCATTTTCCACAAGCCCAAGTCCATCGTGGCTTAAACATCACCAGAGGGATGGATTGAGGCCAGCGTAATGCATGTAATGACACTTTGATCCAGAAAGAAAGTTCGGTGAGAGATTCCATTGAGATCCAAAGGCTAGTGTAACAGCAGCTAGCCCAGAGATGGAGCACGGACCTCAGCTGTCTGGATGTCAACCAGCGACTCTTTGTTTCCCTCCAAATCAGTTTGTGATCCCTACTTGGTAGAGAATGTACACCACAACAGTCAGTACCAGTCTTTCAAACTGGCTGGGTCCAATCCGGTAACTATAAATATTGATCTTTTTCACGAGGTCAAAGGTCACGATTTAACGGTCGCCATTCTTTGAAGGGGACTCTTAGAGGTGGAGGGAGCCCCGCTGGTTGTGGTCTTTGTTTTAATCCTCCTGCGAGACGATGAAACTTTGCTTTTCCGTCGGAGGGAAGGCTGCATTTTCTTTCTGTAAGCTTCCCTCTTTGGACTGTCAGGAGCTCCCAGGTGCTCAGAGAGTCTCTTCTGAAAAACTGCTTGGAACTGCTGAGTCTGCAAGAAAAAAATTTAAGAATAAGGAGTTGATTCAAGGACATGTTGCCTGGCTGTAGCAGGTAAACTTGACACCAAAGACTGTCCTTAACAGAAACAGGGGTTACCCTCCCACTCCACGTAACACAAGTACATGTCATCATGTGACCAAAGCTCTAAACTTAGATCACGCGATGACACCTGAGTCAACTCCAGTCCCTGCTGAGGACCATAAGATAGGTTTGACAGCCCTGGGAAAAACTAACAAATGAACTCTGAGTTAAGAGTTAAGACTATGTTATCCAGCTACCGCTCAAAGGTCAAGACTGAACCCTCACACTCAATCAGTAGAGGTCATACCGTGTCTAGCTGTGTAGTGGTGTGACGTGCCGTGGTTGTGGTGTGAGGTGCCGTGGTTGTGGTTGGGTAAGCTGTCGTCTGCTGCTGGCTCTTTGGTTTGGCACAGTACATCTCCAGAAGCTGAAGTTCACAGCCAGCCGACCGACAGCACTGGTCCACTATCCCCTTCCCCCTGGGCCGAGTGCCGTAACCAGACCACGTACCTTTACCTGCAGAGAGAGAGAAATGTCCAACGTGGGATTCATGTTTTTAAAAAAAATTTTTTTTAATAAAACCCTTTTAACTTCAAAGAAGACAAACGGGCCAAATCCAATGTATTTGGGGGCCTTTTAAGCCAAAATATGCATGATATGCATATGCAACAGATAAATGAAACCTTTTTAACGTTTGCATGCTAGTCCATCCCCCTCTACCAATCGGCATTACACCCCACAACGCGTAGGTATTGGACGAGTACAAAGCCTGTCCTGGCGGTGGTGCTAGAGGAGAGACATTTCGACCAAAAGGGCCCATTCGATGTGCTCCTCTCGGGAACATGCTCAGCCAGTTTAACTACAATCCATGCATTGCATTTTAAGATACTACACTGTTTTAGGGGGAAATGTATTCCTGATGGTTGCAGTAAAGGACGGTTCAAAATGTTTTTAAAGTCCTCAGGGCTCATCTTTTTGGGAACCATGGATATGAAAAGACCACTTCATGTCAATCTGGATGGCAGTTGTCACGATAGCTTCCGACAAACAACAATTATCGAGTGATTGTCGAATGTGTTTGTTTTGCTCATTGAGCTCATTTTCATTTTTTTAGTAATAGTATAATTTATAGGCTGATATTTACACCAAAATAAGGCTACATATCATGAATTATTTGGAGAAACCAAGCAATTCTTTGTAAAATCTGATATTCAGCACCCCCACACAGACGGAATGGACTGATCCTTTGTTTCCTAACCACACATTTCCACCACTGCAACGATTCGGCAGAAATCGTTAGTCGAATTAGGCTCTTTTAGATCGAATCGTCAAATAATCGACTATTTGTTAACACGGTGTCAATGTGAGCATGTTAGCATATGCACGATAGCATTTAGCATTCAATGCACTAAACTGCCACGTCTGAAATGTGTAGTTCTAACGAGGGGAATCTCATACTGTGAGTTCTCTGCTGTTTGTCCCCGTCCTCACCTTTTCTTTGTTATTACTGCGAAAGCTGCGCTGCTCTCAGATAACACGTGTTTTAACAACAGAGCTATCGCTCACCGAGGCACAGTGTTCTGGTGAGCGTGCTGCCATCTTGGTGGATTGCCACCGGTCTGATAGCGTGAGGAGTAAAGTGGCCTTGGTCAGAACAGAGCAAAGGTAATCAAGTGAAAGGTCATGTGGGTAATTCTGTGTGCAGTGCGAGTGATTATACTCTAATAATTATTACCTGTATTTTAAATGAAATGCTGCAACCTGCCTTACAGTAGCTATAAGGTCCAAGATGAAGTGACCAATCAGGTCAGCTCATTTAAATGACACACATTTGTATCCAATGATGAACCACTATTGGACAGAACAGTAGAATCAAATGTGTCCCAGACAGAAAGACCAATCACGAGATATTAAATTGCATAAAAAGTCTGTCCAGTTGGCTGCAGCTCAGATGAGCATTGTTGTGGCTGGTCTTTGTGTAAATAAATGAACAGGCTGTTGTTGTGGAACTGATAACTTGCTCAGAGTTACTGCAGTGTGGGCATGATGACCATGGCCATATCTGTTCTACACCTCTGCTGGTGTAAGTGTTACCACACAGGGTGGAATAACCTTGATAGCACTCGGTGTTATTATCTCTTTGTATCCTTATCAGAAATAAACAATAGAATCAATGTGCATTTCTGTCATAACAAGACAGAATCTACCAATTTATACTTTCAGTGACAGTTAATGTTTTGAATTTGTTTTCCCCTCCATATGTTACATCTGTAAAACACAGAACAACCATACCATAATAGCTCATAGCCTATAGGACATAATGCATAGGTGCTTGTGTTGTGCGTGCAATGGGAGAAGGCCAAGATAACGTCAAGTTGTTTTGAAGTATGTTTGAGAAAATATGAGAAAATCTATCAACAAACTCAAAAGCACTCTTCAGCCGGTCGTCATCGAGCAACGTGTCAGTTTCAATATTACACCGTGTCCAAAACATTATCTGTTTATATCTGAAGGTTTCCAGACAGTGAACCCTAACCACTTACTAATAACTAATAACTTTTACTGCAATGGTTTCCACTAGTATACAAAAACAAACTAAGTGGATGTGGACCTACCTATATAGATCCCACGGTCCCCACACACGAATATGAGGTCGCTGAGGAGGTCCGTGCCACAGCGGAGTCGGGCTGCCTCCGAGGACAGCGGCCAGCCGGCCAGGCACATGGTGGAGTAGAGCACACACATCCGAACACACAACACCTGGAGAGGAGAGGGGGGGCTGTTAATACGCAACACACATGGTTAGTTCTGTCCAAGCTCATAATGAAAACACAGAGGGACCTTGCTACATGGACAACACTCCTCTGTGTTGTTGAAGTGGGGACACGTAAATGAGTTTCTTCTACTGATTGTGAGAATAACGCAAACAGTATTGAGACATAATCAACCGATACATCTTTCAGAGTCAAACTTTTAAAGTTGGACTGCTTTAGGCCAACGACAGATCAGACAAAGAGGTATTCCTTCAAAACCGTGTTGAGACAGTTGTGGGACATAATGTCGGTAAAGCTCTTTATAACTGGAATGATGATCAACAGTAACTTTTGGGATTTTTACTAGAACTTCAAGAAGTTGTGGTCACTGAATACATTGGTGTACTATGAATATATTCTCTAATATTGTTCAGAGTAGATTAGTGGTGGAAACCAACAACTCTCTTGTTAGTCAGTGAATGCAGCAAGTTTCCTATCATGACCCTGTTCTAGGTGCATGACCCCATCTAGCAATCACACCGCTGTCAAGCTGTTAATTCTATTATGAGGTTATGATTATAAACTGTATCCTGTGGTAAAGGAGTTTGAAATATCTCAAGAGAGCAAGCCATCATGCCTCCATCCACTGAGGAGGACCGTGAAATGTGGTTGAAAGCTCTGGAAAGAGCAAGAAGCCAGACCGAGAGATTTCTTGTTTTTGGTCAATATAGTCATTCAAAGTTGTGCAAGATAAGTACATTTACAAAATATCTATCAAATACATTTTCCATCTGCATGAGTCAGACCTGGACTCGGTTAGTCTGTGACCAAAGTCCATGAGCAGGTTCCAAAAGCTACAATCTTAACAGCTCAAAATCCAAAGTGCAGTTTTCAAACAGATGAAGTAATGCTTTATTTTATGTCACCATCACTTCCAACTTATTTCCTAAATTGTTTCTAGGAAAGAACAATTTTTTAAATATTGGTGAAAAATAAAGGCGGAATTCTCACTCAGTTCTGATTTTATGACACAGGTTTAGACTCTACAATCAGTAGTGCTACTAGCACTCCAATGCAGCATCGGTTCAGCAGAATCAACGGTCTTACCTTCAGCATGGGAGAAGGGCGGCATGAGGAGTGCATCCTGCCTGTGTGGACGGACTGATGTGGACCTGCAGTCTTATAGTCAGCAGCGGGAGGGGCAGGTTTCCTCCCTGCTCTCCTTATGCCGGTCCACACTCAAATCTCATCTGGGACTCCTATCGGATGATTCAACAAGCTGTCTCTGTTCTGCTGTGTTCCTACCGTGTATGTAACAGGATATTCATCTGAGTCACAGACACGATATCCTTATTAAGAAACAATTTGGAACCAACTTGTAACAAATACAAAAGTCCTCCAGGAAATCCTCCCCTCATGAAAGGTTCACTTTGTGTTGGAGCTTTTTTTATTGAGGTGTATGCTGAGGTATTTCTATTATTTTGTCCACCCAATTTCTATCAGTGGGTAGAATTGTTTGGTCCTCTTCATTCCATACGGTGGCCCTGAGAGAGCGACGCGCTGCAGCTTTAAGGAAACATGCAACGAGACTAAACAAAAGCAAAGGAAGACAACAGCAAACATCAGCAATAACATGTGGACACTAGAACTAACTTATAATGTTTGCATGACCCGGAAGCATCATGTGGCAGCCAAGAACATTCTTCTAGAGGCTAAGGAAAGGTACTTCAATGCATCCTTTCTTATCTCCTTGAGCATAGGACACCTAGACCATCCTCTACGTAAGGAAAGAGGATTCTGCCATCCCCAAAGTTCCTCGCTGAAGGTTTGAAGTTATAATCGCCCCGGTTCCTTCTACACAAATCCAATGGGATTCTTCCATCAGATCTTTTATTATTGCAGAAAATAAACTGTTTACAATACTTACAAGTTTTGTTCAGCAAATAATCTTCACAAATGTACACCACTGTTACTATATTTGAAGAGTGAACTGAATCATTAGAAGTAAAAAGCTAACGTTAGGCTATAAAGGATCTCCACCACGGTCACATGACTTCACGTCTCCACCACTAAGCTAAAGGAGGACTAGTGTTCTAGTGATGACGTTTAGTCGACTCATTCAGACAGACACTCTTTGAAGTCACGTAAAAGCTTCTACATTCAGGAGAGGAGTGTTTGTTTTAGTTGTTTATTCAATGCCGGAGAACAAAACCTTAAAATCTCTTCAGCTTGTGTTTCACCGAGGTGCTCAGAGTCCGGCTGCTCGACCACGATGCAACGGTCGATGTTTTCTCTTTTCAAAGCAACTTTATAAACACATGGAAGATGAGTGCAGTGACAAACAAAGGATTCCTGTCCAACACAGAATCAGACCTTCAAAGGAGGCAGTTTTCAGTCTTCACAACGAACAACTAAACAGCAAAGTCAACGCCAGGTGGGCTCATCGGGGTCCACGCTTCACAAACGGACATCACAGTCTCCTGGTTGAGTCACCGATACCACTGATGACTCCACTGTTCAGAAGGAGTAACAGAACAAACTGCCGTCAACAATACGTTTGAAACGTTTTGGTCTTCTAACAATGTCTCATATAGCGTTTGGCTGTACCAGCCGAAAAAACCCCAAAAGAAGCGACAGCCAAAAACGCTGAACTCAAGGGTTCAAAACAACAGGCGACGTCACAGTGACGACGGCCTCTTCTTACCACAGTCCATGGGCCTGATAGCAGAGGTCAGGGGTCACAAAACTAGAGCTTGTGTGCTCCAGCAAAGGTCGAGGAAGTGTTAGAAAGGACAACTAGTTTATAAAAGGTCATTAAGTTAACATGCTCACTAGTATCCTGGTCTTAAGATCTGATCCTAGTCTGGATATACCGGGATGCTGATCTCTGAGAATGTTACATTGTAAACCACTAATCTGTGTCTAAACTGACAGGAGGAGAACAAAGGTTCCGTTACATTATGATGCGTTCAGGCTCTGCTCGGTATAAATGAGAATTGGGCTACGGTCAATTTTAACATAAACATGGTGTGTTCACATGTATATATACATAATGAATTATGAGCTGTTTACACTAGCTCTTATAATACATCATTAAACTACTAATGACTAGATTTGTTCAACCATAAAAAATGACTATATCAAAGTAAAAGGAGAACATTTAGAATGTTTGATGGTTCACTGACTAGAGAGCGGTGGAAATGATTTTTGGGACAGATGGATCCTTGTGGACCAGCTGCTATAACCAAACAACAAAGAGATCTGTGTCTGTTAATATGGTTCATCAATGATCGGCAATTAGTATCGACAGCAAAACAGCGGGATCAGGGATCTCTCTTTTGTATTTTGTGCTGATCCGTGGCTCTGATCCGTGATCCGACCCGAGCGTTTTAGGATCCGTTGTACCACTAGTGATTGTGCAGGTTGTTGAAAGCGGCTACACGCTGCTTCAGCCTGGCCTTCATTCGATTTATCTCCTCCTCCTCTGCCAGCTGCTTAAAGTCAAACTCCTGAGGCTTTCTGGTGGGCCAGCTCTGGTTGCCACTTTGCTCTACAATACCAACCGTGTTGTCAGGTTGACCGCTGTCAACATGTATATAATCAGCTTCTTCATCATCCGTCACCATCTCATGTTCACCACAGTTGTTGTTGGCCTCCTCCTGCTCCCCCTGAGGCTGAAGCCACGGCGGCTCAGTGCCTGCTGCTTCCTCTGCAGCCTGCTGTCCATCACCCTCCTTATGACGACGGCTGCCGGCGGACTGAGGGACGTGATGTGTGGTCGTGGTTGAGGATACGTCACTTCCCCTGTTCATAGTAACCTTCTTGTTTTCACCGGGTGCTGCTTTAGGTGTGGTGCATCTCTCCTTGGGCCTGTTGTCATGTAGCAGCTCCTGCAGGACAAACAGAGTGGTATCGCATAGGGATGAGATCCACAGTTGACAGCCGAGGGTTCTAACTGAAGCTACATAGAAGCAGAGCACTGCAGAGACAAGACCGGGTGTATATAGAGACAGGACTTTATTCCTAATGTGAGCCCAAAGGTGCCCGAGCATTTTAGAGTGGCTTGGGACGAACTCGAGGCTTCGAAGCTGTAGTCCACAAACCAGTGGATGACACAGTGACGACATCCACTGCTTGTATTCAGTGTATGGTCACAGTCATAGCGCCAAGCGTTTCCCTACTCTCTACCTTAAAAGGGATGTAGTACTGATACCCAGCACTACAAATCTACATCTTTAAAAAAATCTAATAATTTCTGTCTATCAATAACCTGGAGAAAGTTATCTCTGTCTCTAATTCAAAATGAAAGTTAAAAATGATATTTAAAAAGAAATACCTATTAATCACTTATAAGGCATTGACTAGAGTGGATCTAATATGTGTGGCCCACTATGCCCCCGCTTAAAGGACGCACACATGAGTGATGGGCAGATCGGCTCGAACGTCGTCCACATCCAAGTGTACGCTGGAGTGAAGGCTCTTCTCTGACTAGGAGACCTGTGTGGACATGTCACTCCCTCTCTACTACAGGGACTAGTAGAGAGGGAGTGACTATATATAATTATTATTATTATTATTATTATTATTATTATTATTATGACACTCACCTGGTCTGTGGTGGAGTGATTATCCGGTTTGGTGAGACGATCCTTGAGCTGTTTAGAGGAGGTCTGGGGCAGAGTGACGTGTGATTTCTTCCTCTGTGGTTCTGCAGGTCCTAGAGAAACCGGGGGGGAACGGCGCTGCAGGACAGACACGCCTCAGATGAATGTTACTACGCACAATATCTTTCTATAACTTCATACAGTCAAAAAACAGCTTTATATATGGGGCCGCTTCCAATAAGCATGGTCAGGCAAAGGGAAGGTGCGGAGAAGGTGTCAGGATGAGCTAAAAATGTAAAGTTTGTCCCGAGGACGAGGCTAGAGGAAGGCTCATGGAGTCATTCAAATCAAAAGGGTTCATCCTCTGTGGTGCATGAATGTTTCAGCTGTACTTTGTGTTACGCGCCAATTAACGAATGTAAGCATGCTAACTGAGGTTGTGACAATGGAGAACATTATACCTGCTAAACATCACTGGCAACATTGTGAGCATTTAAACACGCTGACGAAGCACCACCATACCGCCTCAAGGCTGAAGCTTTACATGTCAGCTGACCTGCTGCATGTTTCCCACATTCACTGTTGTTTTTACTAGTTTGTAGCAGTGTCTTGAATGTAGTCATTAACTGAAATGTCATGTTACCTTCTTGAGGCTTTTAGAGGATACCTCTGATGTTGAAGGAATGGAAGACTGGGACGCTAGCTGTTGTTCACGTGTCTCTGGTTGAGTCCGGCTCTCATTGGGATTCCTGATGGACAGGTACACCTGTCCATCGTAGAGGATGACGGCATCTTTGTACACCCGCGGTGCAGAACCCCGAGGTAACGGGGAGGCATGGGATGTGTGCGCGGAGACCTTTTTTCCAGGCATGGTGTCCTTCAGCGCCTTGTACACCGCGTGGTTGGCAGCGACGAAGCTCATTTGGACAGGACCCGGATTAGCCCGAAACTCTCTGCCCAGCAGCGAGGACAGGTTTTCCATCATGTTGTTTCCTGCGTGGGAGGCCACTTTATGGCCTTTCCTCCGTATGACTGCTGGACAAATCCATATGCCTTCTGGAGAGTCTGAGAGCTTCTCGGAGCCCTTAGAGCCAGGCAGCGGGAGGCCCATTCTTCTGAGCACCGACCTCGGTAAACTCCACAGAGGGATGCTTTTTACCTCAGCCTCCACTGGGATGTAGATTTCAAGTTTGCCATGGAGATCCATGCTCGAAGTATTTCCCTGTTGACAAATAAAGAGTTACATTGAGAGTTATAGATGCCAACAACACCAACACTTCCCATGATTTCCTCCCAGCTCAATACTGAAACATAATTTGGGGATGGGAACTTAACAGTTCTTGCATTTATTAGTTTACAAGTTGAGATCATTCTTTACTTTCGATTATTGATAAGCGGTTTCAGTTGACACATCTTGTCAGTAAGGAAATTCATGATTTTATGAGCAATACGGGTGAAGCCTTCCTGTGTTGGCCTACTAGTTAGGTGTCATAATTAGCATGCAGGTGTACCGGACTGACTCGGCCTGACGTTACCGGCACTGAGCAGAATGACGTCGTACCGAAACGGAAGTTCACCTCCGGGTTTAAATGGCTTGGAAACAATGTCAGTGTTTCTCTATCTACAACAATAAAGATACTAGGTTAGGGCGAAGACAGCCCTTCTCGTGCTCGACACCATTATGCTCGGATTCTCCACCAAAAACAACGTGAACACGCGCCCCTTCATTAGAAACCTACGCTAGTTAACGTAAAGAGAAGTTAGCTAACGTCACCGACGCTGTTGAAAATTGAGGTTGCTGTTTCCACACTATCGTCGACTTGTGAACCAAATGATGTCAACTAAAATACCAACCGTACTTAAATAAAAAGAAGCCCGAATAGTGTTGCCCATACCTTGATCAAGCATAAACGTATCCAGCTTTAAATGCTTCGACTCGTTTTTTGTTGCAGTTTCACTTCGTCGCAAAACAGTACTTCCGGTGCCCTACTCTCCAGAATAAAAGTCACCTAAATCACCGAAACAAATATCAGCGGCAGAGACTGCATATCCCATAGTGCCTATTTTACCACACACAAACATGTAACGTTAGTGAGTAACATTTGGAAAAAACTAATCAGGACTTCACAATTGCCCATGTTATACAATAGTGGCACACGAGGACTAAAATGCATTGGGCATTCCTTCTTTAGTTCTTAATGCATGCCTCATATTAATCCTGGCCTGTTCTTAAACCTGTATTATATGTTTAAATACTCATGGTGTCCCAGGGGGGTGAATATAAATAAACACTGCGGGGCAGTGCAATGGTACTGGGGATTACCGATCACAATTAATTAGTTGATATGACTATCTAATATCAAATTACACTAGATCACTTTAACTATTCTTTTATTTTGAAGGCTAGAAGCCTGACTCGCAGTGCGTACGACTCTATATTATATACGATTTCCTTTACTTCCGGTTTGGAATTTTATAATTAGCTAAGCTAAATTATATGTTGTCAGTTGAAGAAACTCAACTGAATTGTGATACCAACCTAAAAGTCTTGCCTTGTAATTTTGTATGGTTTATATTATTACTTTTGCACAGTGTATTTTTCATTTCTATTCTCTACTGTATTTTAAATATATAATTATTTGCTGTCCACAACCCATAAAAAAAAAAAGGAATTTATTTGCATTGATGCCTTAACAAAATATAAATATAACATTAGTATTTGTGAATATCACATTTAACAAATCCTTTTTGTTAAGACAAAATGTAAAACTTTCACAAGAGATAAAATAGAAAAAGCTTTTTAGTGACCGACTATAAATTCAAAAAGTGTTTTCTGAGGCAGTTAATCGCCCATCAGGCCTTTATAGTATTTCCACAATGTCTCAATCGTCACTGATGCAGACAGATGACACACTTTTGAGTAGCTGCAACAGAAAGTATGGTATATGACGTACATTTAAACTCATATGTGGATTTCGACGCACGGTGTTAATATAAGACATCAGGTACGGCCATGTAGAGCAGTAGTGTTGAAAAAAAGAGGTGGGTCAACTCTAAATGTCTGCAGCAGTTCTCTCATGCAGTTATAACAAACTTTGGTCGCCCACATACCAGACTAGAACCACTGAAACCAAATCACACATTTGCACACATGTACTGAAGCCACAGTGATACTTGTGTTTGTCCTTGTTAACTCCAACACAAATAAATAGAAGCAATAACATTAAATACAAAATGTATCCAATTACTTTGTTAGAATGTTAAGAGTTTGAAATGCTGCCGTTTTTCATCAGCTCTAAAGCCGCCTCTTTCTCTTGCAGAAGCTCTTTGAGTCTCGTGATCTGCTCGTGCAGCTCGAGTTCATCAGAGTCCATGGACAGTGTGGATAAACCGTCAACGGCTGGATCCTCGGACGTCTTACAGCTGTGCTTGTTCTTGGCCATTAGGCAGCTGATGCTTCCAGATGTTTTCACGTCTTTACTTGAGGCCTTTGCTCTTCCCCCTTTCTTAATTGTCCGCTCTGTCGTCCACGCCCCCTTCTCTGGCTCGTCTGACTTTGCACTGGACCTCGCTGCTGGATCTTGAGTGCCGGCGATGCAACATGGACACGTCGGGCGCTTCCTTTTTCTTCCCAGTCTCCCCGTGTTAGCATTCAGATCCGCACAGGTCTGAGAACGGCCAGCTGTGTCCCGGGAGTCGGGGAAGTCATTTTCATCAGCACTGAGGAAGTCCTCTTCTATGGGCTCCCCGTAGCCAGTCATTGGCTCTGTTTCAACATCACCGCATGTTCCCTTGGGCGAAGTGTTTGTGTTCACTTTGAAATGTGAACACTCCAGAGGTCCAACATCTGAGTGAGGACTGGGAGTGGAGGAATCTTCGGACAGCTCCTGTTGAGTTAGTACTTCCACTCTATTGCCATTAGTGAGGGCATTGCAGCTTTCAGTTTCTTGTTGACTGTAAAGGTGCTGCAAAAAAGGTTCTCCGTCTTCAAACCTGCTTGTCGTTTCCTGATGCTCCTCCACTGACCTAATGCACTCACTCTCCAGAGACCCGACTGAGGCTTCCTCAATCCTCTGCAGGCAAATTTTCACATCGGCCGTGATCCCGAATATCCGTCTCAGTAGATCATCAGCTCTTTGACAGGATTCGGGCTCCGGCGAAGATGTCCGACTGGTCATGGAGCTCTGCAGGAACAAAAAAACAACTTTTAAAAATACAAACAATACATAAACAAGACTACGAATCAAAAGTACTGCTAGTGGCTTAGACAATGCTGTGCTTTGAGCTAAATGCTAACATGCTAAAAATCACAACATTGAAATGCTGATGTTCAGCACGTTATGTGGAATTCTACATTTGCTAATAAGCATTAAACACAAAGAAATGTGGCTGATGGGATTGGCTTAAGTTTTGGAGGTATTTGGTTAAAAACCGAAACAAAAGAAAGAAGTCAGGGGATCGACAATATAAAAAACATCTTCTGGAAACCATTATGGGCAATACATCCAATATTTGTCAAGATATATCAGTCTGTGTAGGGCCGACATTACCATCCCAGTGAAATGCAATGATAAAATTAATGCTGAATTCACATGGAATCAGACAGTTAGACAGCTAACACGCCTTTTTGTGGACGAGACCAGGAAGTCAAAATTAGGTGAGAGAACTCTGGAAACTGGCTCCGTCTAAAAAAATAAAATAAAATGCACATACCAACACTTCTAAAGCTCATTAATTCAGTTGTTGTACCCATCTGTTTAATATGTACACAGACAGCAATGTAAAAACTTTAATTTGTGGTTGTCTTATGCTGTACAGATTGTAAAACCTCTAAAAGCAAGTGTGATATTGGGCTATATCATATAAAGTACCACCTCAACACCATTCTGTGGAAGTATCCAGTTGAAGGGTTAGGTTATCAATCACTATTTGGAAATCAAAACATTTCCACGTGTCTTCATCTGGGGCCAAGCAACAATGTTGGGTTGGAAACCACTTTTTATATTTTTCAAAACATTTTCTGACATAATGCATCGTATAGGATAATCACATCAATGTTAATCACCTGCATCGTCTTGCTACCTGTGTGTGCTTTACATATTATGGCACCATCTTTGGTTGAATTAAAATACATCCGTCCAGCCAAAAGAACAAACCAAAGATAGAATTCCAACTAACTATCAAAACTCAAATAACAAGAGCTGACCTTAACATATAAAGTACCATCTCAAGTCTAGCTCTTCACTCAGTCCATGTACTGGTAGTGTGTTTAGTTCATGTGTATAAAGGGACAGATTACTTGTGCCACTAGTGGGTGGTGTATTTGTTAAATATGGTTGGATGTATGAGGGAAAGACAAAACGAGGCGTGCATTTGATTCAGCACAATGTGGTTGAAATCCGACCCCTATTTTCGTTTCGTCCTCCCTGCCGACCGGCAGGCTGCTTCTCCCGGAGGAGAGGTGGGGCAGCTTTGGGAGACAGACTTTCAGTTAGCGGAGCAGCGGGGAAGTCCAGCTGCTAACTGAAGGTCCATCTCCGGGAGCCTCCTCCTGCCAAAGTAGTCTGCTGGCGTCAGCAAGGTCAAAACGTAAATAGTAGTCGTTTTCTTGTTTCTGCCACTCTGGATTTGTATGGACCCAGTGGTAGAAGTGATATGCTCACATGTGGCCAGAGCTTACACACTGACACCATTAAGGTATGGTCACAATACGCTTCCGTTTAACGAAATTTCCCGCACTCACCCACGAAACAGGACACGTGGCGTGTCTGATGCGGGTAAGAGATGAATCTCGATCAGAGCGATCACAGACTGTCTAGTAGTGTGGCCACTAGATATGGCGATGAAACGCGCTCCAGTAGCCGTGTTTCCACTGACATGTTTTTGGGCATTTTGAAGTATTGCATTAAAAAAACTGAATGAAAACGGCAAAATTCGATTAAACTTCCTCAATCGCGGAAAAAAGTCTTTACGCTCACTTGATGTGCTTTTTGCCTTTGTAGATAAAAAAAAAAAAAAAAAAAAAAAAAAAAAAAAAAAGAGGATGCGCGAAATGAATTATGGAAACGTCTTTGCCAAATAAATTCTGATGTAGCAAACAGTTAACTTACATGACTTATGCGTTCTAAAGCCTTTCCACAACGTGCAAATGCTTTTCTTCGTCTCTGGACAGCATGAAACACGGCCAATACTAGCTGACATGAAAGAACTATTTAAACTTGCCATATTGAAATAAATTCCTGAAGACCTTTCCATGTTCGCAACCTCTATTTCTTCTACACTGTTTACTGGTGGATTACAACCATGTGTAGCCTGTAGCGCTAACTTCTGTCCAAAGTGCGCTGTAGCCAAGTTAAGAAAAACTGTAAGTGGTTACGCGCCAAATTTTGCAATTCTTTTTTTGCATCATTTTAAAAGTTTGCTTAAAATTCACTTGACAACTGAATGGAAACATGGCTACTGACAGCTTCTACATTTGTGCATCAACGTTTCTAAATTAAGTGCAGACTAAATGTACATTCATCAATGAAGTTAAATGTGTTAAAATATCTTAAAATCACACTGTTACATGACTCCCTGCTTGAAAATATTTCTATCAAAAACTTTTTTCCAAAGTAATGAAGGAATAGAAGTGCCCTCACCTCCACGTTGTGGGTGTCCTTATTTATTTCAAAGCATATTCCATTGCTGCTGGGATCGACTTCCATGCTCTCCAACTGTTGGGCGGAGGTGCTCTGCTGACTGTTAATAATCAAGCAATCATCATCATCATCCATGTTCATCCCTGCTGAAACACCAACATGTGTATGATTTATGACCGGGTTGACCGACATGCTCTGGCCAAGTTCTATTCTTCCGAGAGCACCAGATGTCCCATCTGGCCTCTTTTGTACCGTCACATTGTTCGAGCTGCTTGTGGCCCCCTGGTCTGTTCCACGTGCCATTTGTGTTATTAGTCTCACATCTTGAGACTCAGATCTGGGTGGAGTATATGACACAAATATTACATTGTCTTCATTCGCAAGCGTGACTGCTGACATATGAACGGATGCTGCTCGTTGAGACCAGTCATTTGGAGCATCGTCATCACAAAGGTCAATCACTTGGATCGACTCGTTTGGATTGAGTATTTCGAGGCCCTGCTTTTTCTGAGGTGCAACTGACGCAAGTGACTGTTGGGTTGAAGCTACAATTTGTTTTGCTGCGATGAGTGTGTCACTTTTTCCAGTTTTATATTGTCGGCTGGAATTCTTGGCCGAAAAAAAAAGCTTCCCGTTACACATGACCAAGGGGTTTTCCTGTCCTTGTCCAATTTTTCCCTGACTCGACCCAGAAACTGTATTTGTAGAGACGTCGCAGTGCTTCACAGTATTTTCTCTCTCGGCAGCAACTCGAAGAATCTCTGAGGTAACAAAAGAATCTATAGGATCAAGAGTTGGAGCCGTTGAGTTGTCATCGTCTTCTTCAACTGACCACTTTATGGGGAAGTTGGGCCTTTGTGGAACATTTGGAATTAATTTTAAATGTGGTTTTGATCCTTTTGATGGAGGTCCCCATGAAGTTTTATTTGATGTCTTGTGAAGCAACTTGAGCGTGTCAAGTGCAGAATCTCTTTGTGGAGTAACTCCTCGATTGACACTTGTGATAGGTGACGTGTAGACCACACTGGGTAAGCCTGAACTTGGAGAGGAGTTGGCTGATGGAGTAAAAGTAGGTTTCTTGATACCCGGAGGTAGTCCAGATTCTGAGACTGTTCGGACTTGTACCTTCGGGGGAATCTGAAGGCCCTGTCCTCTGGGGAGTGCTGGAGATTTCATTGTGACTTGGAGATCACTTGGAGGTCTTCCGGACTTTCCACTTTTTGGTACAGGTGTTGCCATAAGAGGTCCTATGGCCCTTAAATGTACACTCTGTTGCTGTTGTGGTTGCTTCGTGTTTTCCTGTTCTTCTCCACTTTTGCCCCGACTCAACCCAGTAACAGATTTAGTACTGACCTCACAGTGCTTCCCAGCATTTTCTCTCTCTGCCGCAACTTGGAGAGTCTCTGAAGTAACGGAGGAATTTATAGGATCAAGAGTTGGAGCCATTGAGTTGTCCTTTTCTTCAACTGACCACTTTATGGGGCTGTTGTGCCTTTGTGGAACATTTGGAATAAAATTTAAATGTGGTTTTGATCCATTTGATGGAGGTCCGCATAAGGTTGTATTTGTTATGTTGCAAAGCAACTTGAACGCGTCACGTCCAGAAACACTTTGTGGAGTAATTGTGATAGGTGACAAGAAGGTCACACTGGGTAAGCCTGAACTTGGAGAGGAGTTGGCTGATGGAGTAAAAGTAGGTTTCTTGATACCTGCAGGTAGTTCAGATGCTGGGACTATTCGGACTTGTGTCTTAGGAAGAATCAGAAGGCACTGTCCTGTGACTGGGAGCTGACGGGGAGGTACAATTGGCAACAAATTCACACACTGTTGTATTTGATGTAGTGGATGGTTGTTTAGTGAATTACCAAGATCCGAACCTACTTGATAAGGGAGGGCATTCACGAGGGAAACCTGCTTCCTGAAAATTTGCTCGGTTGCAGAAGGACTCAAAGCTGCCTTTTTTCCCATGCCAACTGGTGGTGAGGTAATATCGACGGCTAAAGCTTTCGGTGGTGTAGTATCAGTTTTCAGCTGGCTTATTTGAGACTTGTCAAAGTGTCTGTTGACCATTCGTACTGGAATCAGTTTCATGATGTTTCTTCCATCGGCACCAACAGCCGGTATTGCCTGGTACAAGACACCGGTCCCACTGAGAGACAAAACAACACAGAAACATGTCAGTTAAGAACAGTAAAGATTAAAAAGGTACACATTTTACGAGAATTAATTTTGCAGATGGTTGATAGATTTGATGACTGATTTGATCTATGTTCTCAAAAGGCAGCTTTTCCAAACAATATAGGTCCAGATCTTTAAAATGCTGCAGTTGAGATGTGAAGGTTTATATCAAAAGGCCTTTTACACAGCAGACATTTTGACTCGTCAGTGGGAAAAGCACAGATGTAAAGAATGAAAATAAGGAAGATAAATTCCATAGCTGCTTCAGTTTCAGGCTCCTGGGCCCAATCCCAATGTCCCCCCCCCCCCCCCCCCCCCCCCCCCCCCCCCCCCCCCCCCC